ACTCTCTCTCTCTCTCTCTCTCTCTCTCTCTCTCTCTCTCTCCACACACACACACACACACAAACACACAAACACACAAACACACGTGTTCCATACACAAACCATTTCTTCACTTGGCAGATGCTTTGGTGTGCATCTCTGTCTGATATTTTTTTGTGTTTCTTGTTTTTCACAGATTGTTGTTACGACAAAGAATAGGATGGCGCCCAACGAGTCAACTGTTGTGCTGGAAGTCCTGCCAATGCATGGCAGAGTACTCTCCGTGAACGACGTGGATAAGGTGCTATCCACCATCAGCCACAACGAGCTTCAGCTGGATCACGAATTGGGCCCATCATACAAACTGCTCGAGTACAAGCTCCCACCAGATATAGGTAGGTGATTCATGACCTGACCTGACCTGACCTGACCTGACCTGGCCTCCTTGGTTACAACGCATTAATAACAAGAACAGCAACTGCAAGCATGCATCTTACTGGAAAACTGTCCAAATACAGCCACATGAACAATTCCGATTCTGCACTTGCTAGCCATGGAGAACGCTCGTTTGGCAGATATGCCTGTGTTCACTTGCATACTACCAACCGGGAATCCCGAATAAGAATGTAGAGATTTGGTATTGCAGATATATATCATATATGCCTGTGCTCACTTGCATACTACCAACCGGGAATCCCGAATAAGAAAGTAGGGATTCGGTATTGAACTGCAAAACCTGAATAGGAAAGTAGAGATTTGACTCAGTTGAGACAACTCATGCAAGTTATAAACACAAACCGACAATTCATTGCATTTTAGTATTAATTAAATTTTTAATTTATCAAACATAAATCTAACATTGATTTATTAAACACACATGTACTATTGTTTTATTAAACAGAAATTTACTATTCAAGATTTATCCACTTTTTGGTTAAATGATCTGCAGTCTCTACGTCAGGGCGTCGCTCCACTACACAAAACATTCTACGCTTACCCGGACAGGATTGTTGACACCGGGCATTCGGACTGATCCAACATTTCGAATGCACGGGGCCATTGTTGGGCGCAGATACATTTTACAAGCTTGTGCAGTGGAGCAAGACCTTAAGTTGGAGGTGGGGCTTCTTGAGTAGACAGGGTTTTTTTTTTTTTTTAATCGAATAGACCCATTATAGACGTTAAAACCCAGGTCAGTCCACATTTCATGACAAGTAGTTTCCATCCCTTCCCTACCGTCTTCCCTCAAATACAGCGAATGGTCATGACAACTGTGCATGTAGACTGAAAGTTCCCCCAAATACATCTGTAATGACCATGTGTTCTATTCGTGGGAAGAGAGACAGAGACGGTAATGGTTGAATGAAGGGACTACACGAGTGCGTTTGCTGTAAAGAAAAACAAGAAATTAAAAAAAAAGGGAAAAAAAAAAAAAAAAAAAAAAACCTCAGGAAAGTTAGGAAGAATTAACAAAGCAAAACAGAAACTTCCAGGGCAAGGTCCCACTAGCAAAACGGATAGCATTTCACATCTGAATCTGGATGCGTTTGCGGAGAGGTGCAGGGAGTTGTGATTTAAGTGCTGACCTCGATCTCTGCATAAAACACGTCCAGATTCAGGCGCTCAATTCAATTCGCTTTGCTAGTGGGACCTTGCCCCTGGAGACCTCATGTCCATTCAGTGAAATGACCACATTGCAAACATCAGAACAATGGCGGGCATAACCAAATTCGGCAGCCTGTCAGAATGCACAAGGGCATGTACACAGCCAGGTGCATGATTTTCAACAGGGCGTGTGTAAATTACACATGGGCCGAGGCCGATGCTGTCATCAATTTGTTGTTTGACTAGGGACAGGCAGATCTTCCCTCCCAATTCCCTCCTCCTCCTCCCCGTCCCCCCGTCCCCACGTCTCCCTGCCATCTTGAATCCTCTCTCTCTCTCTCTCTCTCTCTCTCTCTCTCTCTCTCTCTCTCTCTCTCTCTCTTGCTTCCTTTCTCCTTTTCCTTGTTGTTCCTTCTCTGCCTTTTTGGATTTCTCCTCCCCCTCCCCCTCCTCCTCCCGCTCTCCCTCTCCCCTCGCAGTGCTCCCACTAGCCCCCCCTCCTCCCGTTAAGGACAGGTTCAGAAAAAAGGTAATCACTGCATGGTGAATGCTGCGTTGCGAACACTAGTCATTTGCTCTTTAACAACACCTATGACTTGGACAATTGCAATTACTTTTGCCCTTCGAACATCACCAAGGAGGGGAAAAAGGCAACGAATAAACTCCGACCAAACAGTGTGTCACAGCCCCTCTCGTTTGTTGTCCTCTTCTCCCTTTTGTCCCTCTCTGCCTACGGTTTACCGTAGGCAGCTCTGTTTGACTATATATCGTCACAAACAGAACTGCCCTGTAAACCGTAGGCAGAGAGAGAGAAGAGGACAACAAACGAGGGGCTGTGACAAACTGTTTCGTCGGAGTTTCACCGACTCATCAGGAGGCTGAACCCTCAATGCCAAATCCCCTCACTGATTCACTGTACATGATAATCTACCTTAACCAAAATCAAAGTAGACTATCACTCACCCACACCAGATGGAAAACTCTACAGACTGTCGGTTCACACCCCATCACAAGCCAGCAAAACACCCACGAAACAAAGAAAGGTCTGTCACAGCCAAAAAATACACTCCAGACACGCCGCTGGCTATATATATATATATTATATATATATTGTCAATATATATATATATTTGGTGGGTTTGTTTGCTGGCTTGTGATGGGGTGTGAACCAACAGTCCGTGTACAGTTTTCCATCTTTTGTGGATGAGTGATAGTCTGCTTTGGTTTTGAACGGTCACATGTGCCTTGAGGGCAGTGGATGGTGGTCCCCACCACCTCCGAGGGGTATCAGTTGTCGGGCAGTCGTTGATGCTTAACCACAGCCGGGTTTAAGGTGCATTATCACTTACAATGTAATAATAAGTTTAGGGGATTCTGCAGACTGTTGAGGGGTAGAAAGGGGGGTCGATTTTAAGCAGGAAAGTCGAGAGTCAATTTCAAGGTGCGGGCAATGTTGGAGATGGCTCCCTTGCGCTCACAATTACCTTCTTCCCTGAACAGAAGACAAAGTGCGCCCAAACAATGAACGGATACATGAATGAATACAAACTGTATTTCCGGTTGGGTACAGCCACAAAGGTTATACATGGATGTGTACAGTCACAAAGGTTATACGTGGATGTATACAAACTATCTTTCCGGTTGGATACAGTCACAAAGGTTAGGTGAAGTTCAACTCACACTGGTCAGCTTTCCTTTTTTCCAACTTACCTCATCATACAGTGTCCCGCTTTGCAGGAAAAAAAAATAATAATAATAATAACAAATAAATAAATAAAATTTAATAAATCATATCATGTCCCTTTTCTGGTCAACGGGTCAACCCACAATGTTGCTGAGAAAAAGTCAAATAACTCATAGCTTAGATAGCAAATAATAATAATAAATAAATAAATAAATCATACCATGTCTCTGACTGACGAACATCACACCATAGCTTAGATAGACGACACATGAGAGGGAGAGAGAATAGAGGGAGAGAGAATATTCAACGAGGAATCAACATCAAATAGCTTGCTGTTCCCGACTACGTACCCTGACAATTCCGCAAACTTCTAATTTTTTGCCCCCTTTTTTTTTTTTGTCCTGCATAGGAGAAGTAACCCACTCCCAAACGTTCTCTCTCTCTCTCTCTCTCTCTCTCTCTCTCTCTCTCTCTCTCTGTGTGTGTGTGTGTGTGTGTGTGTGTGTGTGTGTGTGTGTGTGTGTGCAGAGAAAGAATACCGAGGGAGACATCGAGGCTTTAGACCTGGCACGGTATTCAGAGTCTTGATGGCTGGAGCTGGGGTAATAGTGTTTCTGGGCATTGCTGCGGCGGGGCTAGTCCTGTACAGGCGCCTTCGGGACGCTCCCTTCATCGAGAAAATGCTGGGCGCAATGAGTCCCCCAACAACTCCTAGAGAGCACTTCGACCGAGGTGATATGTGGCAAGAACTCATGGATTGCTTGCACTACATCCCAACTCCAATTTCTAACATGTCACTTGGCACCAATTGGGGCGGGGGGAAAGGGAATGAAATGGAGCATGATTATGTCTTTATGAAGTTACTTTTTTTTTTTTTTTTCCATAATATTTATGAAGTTACTTAAGTTATAGCTGTCACTAAATGCTGTCATAAAAAAAAAGAAAAAAGGAAAAAAAAAAGGGAAAAAAAGAACTCATGATTATGTCTTTTATGCACGTAAATACTGTCATTAAAAAAAAAAGGGAAAAAAAAAAAGAGAAACGGTCTTCTGCAATTAAATGCTGTGAGTAAAGGAGAAGGGAAAAAAAAAAAAAAAAAAAAAAAAAAAAAAAAGCGAAACGGTCCAAATTTATGTCACCAGAAAAGGTGATAGCTGATCACATCGTATTCTGTGGTTTTTGCATTCTCCTGCCTTGTTCCCAATTAATTAATAATAATATAAAAAAGAAAAGTTTAAGAAACTTCAAAAGAAAAATAAAAAAAATAAAGTAAAATAAATAAATAAATAAAGTAAGAAAGGAAAGAATAGACGTGTAAGTTGTGTATAACCCACCCATGAGCCTAGCTCAGTTGTTAGTAAAAATTGGTACACCCATCACCGTCATTTTTTATTATTTTTTTTTTACTTGCACAACCCACAAAAATGTAGGACGATTGTTATAATGACCCTGAGTAAACTGTCCAAAAAAAAATAGGGCTATTTTTTTTATTATTTATTTATTTGTAGGGCTCTGTTAACAAACATCACACATTTTGTGGGTCATTATAGCATCACGTTATTCAGGGTCATTATAACAAACGTCCCTGTTATAAAGACGGCCCATTTGTTATATAATGACTCTGAATAGAGTTCAATAAACCCTGAAAATTCATTTAGGGCTCTGTTAACGGCTTCTGGAGTACTCATGAGTCATTACTACTTAGACTGAAAAACAGTTTTCCTTCAAGGGACTTCAGAGTTCAGCGTGCTTTTTTTGTTTTCTTTTTGTTTTTCAGTGTCCTTTTTTTTGTTTTATAATAACTTGTATTTTGTTTTTCAGTGTGCTCTTTTTTTTTCTTTTTTTTTTTTAGTGTCCTTTTTTTGTTTTGTTTTGTTTTTCAGTGTGCTTTTCATTTGGTGTGCTCTTCGCTTTGTAATTCTGCTTCCTGCTTCTTTTTTTTTTTTTTTATTGGATCATTTTGATTCATTTCTCGTGTGCTCTTCGCTTTGTAATTCTGCTTCCTGCTTCTTTTTTTTTTT